ACCTGCCTTGGGGGAAAAAAGTGTTTCAGCCCTTTGGAAACGAGGCACAGCGTAAAACCAAACACTTGACTGTATGGAATACCAGAACTTTATTCTGGTATTAGTTAGGAGAGTGCAATCTGACCCAAAATTGATATGCAATATGACAGATGAATTTTTAAGTAGAAGAATGGGCCTTTTTTTGTGGAGACTTACATAATCCTTCCGCTTTCAAAAGCAGATGCACACAGACCCTAGTAGCTGTGCTCCAGTCTAATGCACCATCTGTAACCAAGCATGGTTTCAGCGTTCTTAGGACCAAATTATTGGTTGATAGAAAGTTCCTGTATGTTATACTCCTGTGACCATTTGAAGAAAAAGTTACTGTTTAGTTTTCATTACGCAGACTTTTTTCTTGCAAGCGTTTTATGTACGAGCAACAATACTTCAGAAAGTCACACGCAGTGTTAGAGGGCAAAACATTTGGCAGAGTCTTTAAGATCATAGCATCACTTAAGTATTATAAGTTATGCATAATTTGCTATCTTCAGAATATAAATGACTGAATTACTGATCTTGAATTCAGGAACAATAAAAATCCAATTGCTGTTGTGTAAAAGGTGAAAGAATGCACTTGTTAGTTTGCGAAGCAACTATGGGAAAGAAAGTTAAGCAAGAATAGTTCCTTCTTGATACGCTCTTAAGCAATACATTTCTAGCTCCAAAGCTGACTGGAACTTATGTACCGCATTCAAAAAAAATGGAAGTCTTGCAAAAAAAGTCTTCTGACTAAATTTGAAGGAAGTTAGAAATAGACCGTTTCATTGTATAATAATTAAACAGCTTTGTTTCCTTTACTGTTTTAAAAAAAAGTAAGCAAACAGACACTGAGGGATGCTATCTCTAAAGTCACGACCCGTATAACAGAAAAGGGAACAGAGGATGAAATGTAGAGAGATGATTATTCATTTAAGTATAGAATTCTCAGTGGTTATTATATGCTCCTCATAATGCAAGAAATCCAACTTATTGGTGACTGACCTTACCAATCAGTTTCTTTCTCCAATTATATTAAAATAATAACAACTTAAAATCTTTTTCTTAGACTGAAACTGGATCCAAAAAATCCAGAAGTTATCTTTAGATCAACAAATTATCTTTAAGGTCTAGGTAAAGTGGCAACAAAAAGAAAAAAAAATCCAGAAACGACCCTGCTTCCTACCTGACAGTCCCACCACACACGAAAAATAAGAAGAGGTTGTATCATCAGCCAAATCTAATAAAGAAGTAGATTTAATGCTCAAGTGGATAATAGTGTACAGAGTATCTACTCTGTTACCTTCTTTCCTTGTATGAATACGTTGCTGTATCAGTGTATCAATCCAATACATTGCTGCTGCTTCCTCCTCTCCGTGGTTTCATGTATTTACAAATTTTTCAACTGTACGTTTCTTGTTTCTTTTTTAAAGAAACTTTATTTCAGCTGATTTGGCAAGCTTCACTGAATTCGCTTATCTGACACGCAGATAATCCTTGCTGAGGAACAAACACTGTTTTCATCCAGCCATAAAGAAACCCTTGAAAATAGGAATTGCAGTCTAGAACGAGTGTGTAAACAGCCTGCAACGTAGCAACCTTCCACAGGTCATGGCAACGGCTTGCAGCCAAGAGCCGCAAGGTGTGTATGACGTACTGTGGAGACTAGATCATAGGCAGGGGACTCCTACTACTTAATTTGGTGTGCGTACGTTGCTGTGTACCACAGTGACCTGTTCTCCACTTGAGCTCGCGTTCTCCCGCAGACGCCTTTCCATTAGCACAGCCAGTCCCTCAAGGTAATCCCAACGCGGAAGCCGCAGCTGGCTACTCAAGAGCTGGACCTGGCCCGTAAGTCACCAGCTGACCACTTCTTGGTTTTTTCTTCACCTGTTTTGAAGGAATAACAGAGTTTGGAGATCAGCCCGAAAATGGATCAGTCGTGTTAATGAACAATATTACCATAGCCTTTGAAGTACAAGAATATGTACTTCATTGTAAGCATATGGATAGTCTCCTTGTAGAGTTACACTTGTATTACGCATCCGTATTACATTGTCTTGAACAGCTATGAGCACACTTCCATTTTCAAATGACGTTATCTTTCTCAGTACTTAACTTTTTGCTCCTTACTCCATGAAAATACAATTATACAAGCTGCCTGAAACTTCTTATGTCTTCTCCCTCCCCACCAAGTGGTTTTAAGTTTACTGAAAAATAGCACCTAGGTCTAATTGTCCTACTTAGATTCCTTCTTGGTTTACTTTAACAGTATGACATTAATGATGTCATTGTGACATATGACAGTTTATTTTCACAGATGACATTGTCATCTGCATACTCACATAGGCACAATATTCTCAAACTAAGATCATTAAGGAAGGCTTAGTGCTATAAAAAATTTGTTGCCAAAAGCCTTTCCTATTCTGAGATAAACCTAAATAGAAAAGTTCATAGATTCACGCATCAGTAACAGGCACTAATTTGGCCAAAATTTAATAGTTTTTGAGTATGTATGTCACTCATGACCTCAAATTCCAGGTAAGTGGAATTGTTTTCTTAAATTATCAGAACTAGTTTTTGCTTGATAGCAAATTTCTTGTCTGGGAAACTTGTAGAATAAATCCTGATCTGATCTCTCACTTTTCAGGTTCTTACCCATAAAACAATGAAGTGGAGTTTTTAAAAATATATTTATATATGAATTGTTGGAACTGGTTTGCATGGAACTAGTCCCGTGCAAAGTTCAAGCCCCCTCTGAGTTCCTGCCAGCCAAGCAACCATTCTTTGTAGCATGTAGTAGTTCTTTAATAAACGCGTGTAGTAGAATGTTGTGTTCCAAGTTCTCAAGAGCTTAATCTTGTTTAAGAACCAGTTTTTACACTCGTAAATGTGTGCATTTAAATGTGTGCATAAAAAGTAAATAAATTAAAAATACTCGTAAATGTGTGCATTTACGAGTATTTTTAATTTATTTACTTTTTATTTATTTAATTTATTACTGATTACAGCTATCCCAGTGGTTAAAATATTTTTAAGGAGGAAAAGGGAAAGGGGATAGCGCTATTAGACTGGCGTGATGGCCGGTCGGCATTGACGGGGGCAGCACAGTGAAGCACTTGATGAGCAGTCACTAGATTTCCTTTGTAAGCATCCACATTTCAAATGACTTAAACTGAAAGCAACAATTAACCTCTGTATTTTCAGTTCTACTCTAAGTATGAATACGCAAATAAAGTGACTTTTTTTTACCTTAGTGATCAAGGATACTGATACTGTAACTATTCACTACCCCGACTGCATTACGTGGCACACAAAATAAACTGTATCCTTCATTTTGAAAAGATCTGGATGTGATAACTCAGTCTATTGCTTCCATAATTAGAACTTCTGAGAGTGTCAGTCCTGAGCTAGTGAATACGAGCAGTGCTAGTGCACAGTTCCTCCTCACCAGGAACCACAGTGAGGTTGTGACTGTGCGCACAGTTCCTCCTCACCAGGAACCACAGTATATTAAGTGAGGTACTGACTGTGCGGTCCAAGTGTAACGGACCATTTATTTTACCTTTGCTCTCTGAATTACCTCATTTTCAGCTACACACCCATTTCTTTCAATCTACGTAGATTCTATCAATATATAATAATGAACAAGCTAAAATAATTGACAGGGTTTTCTTCAACTGTATTTCTAAGAAGCTATCACGCACACGAAAGGCACGCTTAATATTTGCACGTCGATCTGCATGTTCCCTTAGTAACTATCTACAGATACTTGTTTGTCTGTATCTACCACTCTGCTGTGGGATGGAAGTAAACAGTCCGGCAAAGTTATCAACCTCAGTACCTTTAAAAAAACCAAGCCTGTTGCCACGTGTGACCAGTTGAACAACCCATGCCACAAAGGACTGCAGGTGAGGTGGCAATCGCAGACCTATCCACGTTCGTACCCAACAACCGTCTGAAGGAGAACAACTTCAGTATCGTTTTATTCCGGAAAGATCCTATACTGAACAAGCACGAGACTTGCATCTCTTTAGACTTAATACTGCAAAAGCTGAGCCTACCATTGTTTGCCTGCCAAAGTAACTGAGCCAAGGTGGCGTATTCGGTTGGAACAACTAAATTAGATTTATCTTCTAATGCTTTTTCCTGTAAATGTTTTTAAGAAGAGAGCACAAATCAGTATTCCTATCATTCTGGTCTCCACGTCTTTGTAGGGAAAGTTAAACCAATCTGTCTTACCAAATGAGGTTCTCTGACATTTTTAAACACTAAACCTTAGAAGGTAGGTGTTTCTTTCTTCATATTAAAAAAGTGTAAAATGAAAAACACTGACTGTCGGTGCCTTCACTTACTAGTAGAAAGATTCAAAGTGACTCTAACAAAAGCATTCCCGTTTGGAAGCCTAAAGCTAAGACTTTAATTATTAGAAGGAACAGATAAACCAGTACCCTCTGTTGATTTTATCAGCACATAAAGGATTAAGTCCCTCTGGAAATATACCTGTCATTTTCTATGCTTTTAAGCCATATATTTGGGTATTTAACATTGGTGCAAGTTTCAACTTAAGACTTTATGAAAATAAAACTAATTGCTGTTTATAAAGCTATTAAATAATGGTCTTTTACATATGTAATTTAGGCTAGTATGACTGCAAATCAGGAGTCTCACTGACAGCCGCCAGTGGGATATTCTTTTTAGAACAATGCAGGGAAAATAACAAATTAAGAAAAAAGGGAATAGTGCAAAGAAACTGTTCACTGGACTACGTAGACTTCAAGAGAGGCTAATTGTTTTTCTGCTGCTGCTCTCAGCCGTGCTTTTTGCAAAGCTCTATGGATTTCATTAAAGTTCGCGTACAGTCAGCTCAAAATTTAAAGGGGCTAATTAAACTTCAGCTACTGATTTGGATATTATATAAATTTTTTTGAACATTGCAGTTCTTCTCTGCCTTTCAGAAATGCTTGCTTTTTCTTTTTCTTTAGGGACATGTCATCAACCAGAGAACTGTAAAAGGGAAAGCTACAGAACTGTTACTTGGCAGCTGACTAGAGTGATGGATGAATTGCACATTATCACCTAGAAGAGCTTATTTCCGACTTGGAGAACTAGCACTTCGTTCTAGAATTGAGACATATTTTAAGCAGAAAGCAGCGTGACCTGGATTAGAACAGTCTGAAAATTGCATGGAAGTCAACTGAATCCACTCATTTCACCACAAACACCTCTTTTCTGTAAATTTAGTAATAGTGTTATCATATGCCAGAACATGAATATGTACAACGCATATATCCCTGTAGCTAACAAACTTAAGACTGTTCTACTGAGACCAAAAATACTCAAAAATCTGTTAAAAGTCGTATTTACATAACAAATCCAGCGGGCATCACTTTTCATCGAGTGCTTCTAAGTCAGATAAACAAGTTGCTGGCAGTCTTTCCTAAGTAAACAAGTTCTGTTAAGGTTTCTGTCCGTACCACTAGAGAATGAGTGGGTTTGTGTTATGTTTATTATCCTGTGTTTATTAGTACTTGTTTTGCTGTAGCACATCTTTGTTCAAACACTACTACCCACATAAATTCAAGGAAATAGAAACCAACATTTGATATATTGATCCAACTAAGCATAAAATGAGCTCTGCGTGAATTTCACAGAATTACTGTAGTCATAGCTTTAGCATCTCACTTCATTTCAATGTGATTACATCTATATGATCCATAGGGAGCAATAAATAAAAAGTGATTTTTTTTTTCCCTTACCCAAGTTGCATTATGGATGAGTTTGTCAGAACATCCCCTTGAAGCCTAACAGCAACTTTAAAGGTCTCTAATATCGGCGTCAAACAGTGTTCTGAAAAAAAGTTACTTCTATTGTTAATCCTACTTACACTGATGTAAAAACCAATAGACTAGCATTTAATGCCACAGAGGGAAACAGAAGTGACAGTAAATCCGCCGGGAGAGCGCATCTGGCAATGATGGGATCACTGACAGTACAGGCTAGATCTTGGCTCCTAGCATATCCCGTGGCAATTCCTCAGTCAAATTATCTGTCATTAGCTGAGTTGTGGTAAATGACCAGATAAATTCTCTCAGTCTGCTCCAGCTGCACAGTGTAACACACCTGCTAACACTACCGTGATGTCTCAGCTGATTAATGGGTAACTCATTATACTGCTGTGGCTTGCAATTATAAACTATGTGGTCACATGTCTGGGAGCAGGTAACTCCCTTATCATGGGTGAGTCCCCAGATAATGCTGTGCAGCTGGCGACGTTCTCAGTACTTTCTTCAGTCTCTCCTCAGGTTAGTTTCAGCTTGAGCACAACTCTCTCCATGGATGCAAGCGGTGACTCTAACCTGATGTGCTTGCATCAAACTTTGAAGAAAAACAGTCTCGTATGATCTTCACGTAACCATCAGGTACTTGCTCGAGATCCAAAGTAGCACAGCACGCTTCAGTTGGCCGCTTGTTAACTCCTTCCTGAGCGTTATGAGGTCACCACAACTGACAGGGAATACACAACCACTTTGTGTGGTGGTCTCAGTAACTACCATAACTAACACTAAGTTGTTCATCCAACTCCTGTCAATTAAGAGCATCTTAAAGTTCAAACAGGATATTCCAAAGGCAGGCTGTGCCTAACTCTAGAGTAGTACTTCTCAAACCCACTTTTGCTGAGAGTATACCTGTGGTCAGAGCAAAATTAAAGACCAGTTAGAATTTGTCTTGACTAATTGTCAAAGCATAAATTATCCCATATTCTCCACCTATTTTGAAGATTTCTTACTGACATTTGATTTCACCTACGGACGTTCTGTCCAGCCTTGTGTAACACACCTATATACACGGTAACTATTTCCTACAATGGAATAATTTAATATCATTCATTCCATGAGGGGAGAAAGGTGAAAGCAAGAGAGAACTCAGAAGCAGCTCTCAGTGATTATGATGTGAGAAACAGCGCCTTATTATTGAATGTTCCTTCTCTGCTTGATTTGGAGACAAGACAAACTGAATCTTCCACATATAAGATGCCTTAACCATTCAGCTCTTACTCTGAACATCTGCATCTTGCTTGTTTTCTTGACATAAACCATACCAAAAAGTTTGTTTCATTACAAAGCAGAAAAAAAATACAGATAAAAACCTCATTTTTTTCCTGCAAAGCAGAATTACAGCTTTCCATTTGAATGATATTGCCGAGTGACATTAAACCACACAACCCACTTCACTCCATCATTAACACTGCAACCCTGATGACAAATCTGATTAAGGCTTCAACACCTACTCTGGATCAAAACCCTGAATCAAAACTGTTCAACCACTTGAGTAAGAGGAAACAAGAAAGTTGGTTATGAAGAAGCAAAATCTTTTGAGTGGTGCTATTGTTACGAATTCATACTATGAGTACATACGCATCCAATAATTCAAAACTGAGTACTTTTCAGTCTGAGCTAGGACCTTCATGGACGTGGTCAGACCCTTCCCTCTCACATGTAGCAGGGGTGGTGCTCACCTATCTTGCCGAGTCACAGGACCTCATCACCTCATATATGGTACAAATCAACACAGTAAGCCTTTATCTCAACCTCCCAAGCCCTTGCATGTTCCTTCCAGCTTCCAAGCCCCATTGGAAACGGCAGAATGTAAACACTCATATGGACAATACATCTGTCCTGGCTTCGGCAGGGATAGAGTTGATTTTCTTCCTAGTAGCTGGTACAGTGCTGTGTTTTGGATTTAGGGTGAGAACAATGTTGATAACGCACCCATGTTTTAGTTGTTGCTCAGCAGTGCTTACACTAGTCAAGGGCTTTTCAGCTTCCCATGCTCTACCACTGAGAAGGGCTGGAGGTGCCCAAGAAGCTGGGAGGGGGCACAGCCAGGACAGCTGACCCAAACTGGCCCCAGGGACATTCCATACCATGTGATGTCATGCTCAGTACATAAACTGGGGAAAGCTGGC